TTGCCCATATGCGCGGCCACTAGCGCGATCGCGCTAGTAGCGCGGCCACTAGCGCGTTCAATAGCGCGGGCGCGCTAATATTTTTGGGCTGAGGCAGAATACTTGCCCATATGCGCGGCCACTAGCGGGCGCGCTCCTGGGCACGATTTTTTTCTTATTTTTCACCTGTTCTTACCACTTCCGATGGCCTTATCACCCGCCCATTGTCACCTGCATTGGTCAGTACATCCCAAAACTCACAATTAACAACTAATACTATCGTTGGGTTGCCTCCCAACCAGCGCCTTAGTTAATGTCGTGGCACGACGATTACAACAATTCAATGGGTTGCCTCCCATGCAGTGCCTGATTTAACGTCGGGGCACGACGCAGACAAGCGCATTTAAGGCTCACTCGACCTCTGAGGTTCAGTCAGGTGGATCTCTGACACTTCCTTTGATTCATTCATGCCTACGTATTTCAATCTCCGACCATTGACTCTAAATGTGTGAGAGTCTTTCTCTGAGGCAATCTCCACAGCCCCTGAAGGGAATAGTTCGACCACTCGAAATGGGCCAGACCATCGTAACTTGAGTTTACCCGGGAATAGCCTTAATCTGGAGTTATAGAGCAATACCATGTACCCGGGGCTGAAATGTCGCTCAACAATGTTCTGGTCGTGCAATCTCTTCATTCTTTCCTTGTACAACCTTGTGCTCTCAAAAGCCAGATATCGGAACTCGTCAAGCTCATGCAATTCAGTGATTTTCGTTGTGCCCGCAGCCTCAATGTCTAGGTTCAGCTGTTTCAGTGCCCACCAAGCTTTATGTTCAAGTTCCACTAGCAAGTGGCAGGCCTTCCCGAACACCAACTTAAATGGTGACATACCAATTGGTGTTTTAAAAGCGGTTCTATAAGCCCAGAGTGCATCATCTAGCTTTTTCGCCCAATCAGTTCTTGTGGCGTTTACTGTCTTGGTCAATACACTCTTTATCTCTCTATTAGACACTTCCACCTGTCCACTTGTCTGCGGGTGATACGGTGATGCCACCTTGTGACGCACATCATGCTTCGCTAGCAACTTCTCAAATGCTCGATTACAGAAATGGGTGCCTCCGTCACTGATAATAGCTCTCGGTGTCACAAAACGGGTGAATATGTTCTTCTTCAAAAAACCCACCACTACTCTTGTATCATTAGTGGTAAAATGCTGCAGCTTCTACCTATTTGGACACATAATCTACAGCAACAAATATGTACTTATCGCCAAAGGAGCTGACGAAGGGTCCCATGAAGTCAATTCCCCAGACATCAAACACTTCCACCTCTTGAATCGGGTTCATGGGCATCTCATGGCTACGGGAAATGTTCCTGGTTCGCTGACATTCATTGCAGCCCTTCACCCATTGTTGTGCATCTTTAAACACTGTTGGCCAAAAGAAACCGGCCTCTGGCACTTTTGCGGCTGTCCCCAGCAACGGCGCCAAAATTTGATCACGCCCAACTATGCCTTATAAAAAGGACACGCGGACGTTGCAAATATAATCTGAGTATTTCGCCCAGAGTCGAACCCACAAGGAATTAACCTATCAATTACTCTCGTTAGACTTACGAAATTCTACGTAATCAACTTCCCAAACTTTCTGAATAACAATTGAGGATGTTTCTACTAACTAAGAATGAATGTAAATAAGCAACTGAAAACTAACTATGATTAAGTTGTAAACAATTAAGAGGAAGTTCTAAGGTTATGATTTCCCCTATTGATGGAATCCCTTCCGGTTATGTTTCACATAGAATTGCCTAATCGTCTCTATCAATCATGAGCACTCTTATTATCGCAAATCTCTCCCGAGTAATCACGACAATTTACTAGACGCACTCTCCCGAGTTACGCAAGCTGGCTTTGTTTATTAAAGCTCACTTTAGATTGCACCCAAGGCTTCGTTATCCCTAATCCCGCCTTTAAACCCTCGGTTATTGATCCCTCAAATAGTTTGGGAGTGGTGTTGTTCAACAATGACCTAAATTTGCACTCTCTCCCGAGTTATGCATACTAAATAGGCACAGCTAATTGAGGATCCTATCAATTAACTACAACAAGAACGTAGTTGAACAAACAGAGATTAAACTGGGCAAACTATATTAACATAACAAGAAGTTCATACTTCAATAGGTTCCATCAAAATCTTAGACTAAATATTTAGCTACTCATACTAGTGTTCATCACAACAATATTCAATTTCATCATAAATCGTAAAACACAATAGGAAGAACTCGATGTTGAATTATCCTCCTTGCCTCTTGCCTCTCCTTGCCTTCAACTAAGTTATGAAAACCGTCATCATAATCTCTTGGGCGAGCTAGACCTTCTATAGGTTAAGTGGATTTGCCCCCGAACTTCCAAATTTACCCCTGAAGTTTAATTTTCCGGAACTGGGCTAGCGCGATCGGCTAGTGAACTCGCTAATGACCGCGCATATAGCCTACATTCTGCCTCGACTTCCTGGGCTAGCGCGATCGCGCTAATGGACGCGCTAGTCCAGGTCTTCATTTTATCTCTTCTTTCTCTCGTCTTCCCACGTACTCAGCTTCTAGGGGCTTTTCTTGCTTTAATTTAGCTCCAGATACAGATTTAAGGCCTCATGCATGCTACTCACTCCTGCAAAGTGTGAAATTCACAATTAGACCATTTAGCTATATTATAACAGTGAAACATGATCAAGCTGGGGCATAAACAGTCGCCAAATTACATGAATCTAGCCTATTATCATATATGTAAGTAAACTGTTATTTGGTTTTGTAAACTCTTTTTTGTTATTTAGTTAAACATAGATGTGTACCCTATATATTATACTTATTTTAAAGAATTTCGTTTTATTCAAATATACAATGTTTCAAAGAACTATACTAATAGGATTTTAAATGTGAAAGAGTTTTATAGTTATATAGAGTATTTTTTTTTTTTTTTTTTTT